CCTCTGGGTTTCCCCTTTCTGTTGTTGTTCCTGCTACACTTCGGTAATCCTTCGCTTCCTGTGTTTTGGCTTTAGTTTTACTCCCCTTCTGTCTCATTGTCTTACCTTTTTGTGATTATTCTCACATGTCTCATTTCTCACAGCTGATTCCACTCATCATTTAGCCTTCCACGTATAAACTGTCCTGTCTCCCCTTGTCTTTTGTCGATTTGTCTGTAATCTTACCCCGTGTGTTTCCCCTCTGTGATCTCATGCGGATGCTGTTGCCTTGCTTTTGGACTTGCTGTGGAGTTCTGCTATTTAGTTTACTGGACCTTGCTACAGCCTAAATAAACGACTTGCCTTTTGTTGTTGGAGCTCTGCCTCTCTGGGTCCTCGAACGACATAAATCATGACAGAAAATGAGTGACAATGAGTGAAAAAGCAGCCAATGTCCAAAGAAAAACTCTGACAGAGCTTCAGGAAGCCTGGAGAACTGTTGCTCAAGGCCACTTAAAAATATACTTAAAAGTCTGCTTTCTTGAATGCAAAATGTAAAAACATGGAGGGTGGGGTAGTTCAAGACATTTGCACAGTACTCTACACGTAGATCACAAACTAGAGTGCCATTTTAAGAAACTGTCATAATTTGAGGATAATTATGCAAGTCCTGCAGTCTTTTGCATACCCATGCACTCATGGGAACTCAAATTACTGTCATTGAGGAGGTTTTTAATGTCTTCTAAATACTTAACTGGTCTAAAAACATTACTTCTTGTCAGCAGCTAAATTATGAGGGATTCCTGAAAACAGGGGCTTTCATCATGGTCACCATGGTTTCCATTCTGGGAAGGGGTGAGATGGAGAATGGATTTCATCCTACTTTCCTTCAGTCATAGGTCAACAAAGGGAAATTCTTCCATAATAGGAAAACAGAAACGTAAGAAATGCAGTTCGGTTTGGTTTCATAATTAATCCAGAAGTCGCCTGTTGAGAGGGAAAAAAAAACTTGATGGTCTTTGAGTGACCTTGTATTTGTGATCAGAGTTAAAACGCTGCGTTGGCCTATTTGTAGCAAAGAAGAAGAAGAAGAAAAAGCTTAATCCTGAAATGATGGTTGCAGTTGTAAGCCAGCAAACTATGAGAATCCAAAGTGTTGAGATGTTTTTGGGAAAGCTGATCAAATTTTGATGTGTGGTTTCAATACTGGTTCGAGAGGTTTGGTAAAGGCCTTGTTGTGCAACATGACAGAAAGAAATTTTCCCTAAGAACTCCCTTAGTTGGTGTGGTTGCAGGGATGGAGTGTTTTTATGTGAGTTCGTGCTTTTGTATTGAAAGTTAGAATGGAAAAGGCTCTGCTCCGTAGAACAGCAATGTTCAAGTACTCTAAATCATGCTCTCCCTTAACGCCTCTCCCTTCGCATTATCTTTCTCTTTCTTTACTTTGCACACTCACCTACATGCAAATACACAATTACAGCCTCGATGCTTTACCAACAACAATGGCTGTCTCTCCCCGCTCCATTCCTTGGCCTGGCAGCCTGTTGTTGGGAAGTTCTCAAACAACCCAACCTCACTGCAGCCAAACCACATCAAATACAACACGCAAACACGCAGTAGTGTAAATTCTGCTAACAGCGCGCCCTTTTCATGTAATGAAACAACACTGGATAAATACTGTAGGTACAAACACGCAGGCAAAACATGTGCGCGCACATATTCGCACTGGATCAACTGTACAAATAGTCCCGAGCTCAGACAGTCAGCCAGCAGCAGTCTCCTCCAGCCCGCTGAGTTAGCTCCCACTCTTACCACCATTACCACTATTGTAAATAATCCTCAGTATGTATTTACTTGGGGATTTCAGAAACCTGAAAAAAAGAAAAAAGAATGAGGCGAAAAGAAAAAAAACCCTGGAAAAATGAAGGAATGTGTTTCACGTCGGTCAGTCAGTGGGAACCCTCATGCCTTATTGTGTTTCTGCTAGAATTTGCTTTGGATTGCTTTGGGAGATGAGATTGAGTCGTGCGGTGGATATTCACTCCATATCTGTGGACTCTGAGTTTGCTCGTTATGTTTTTTGCTTTTCTTTTTTCCAACTAATACTAAAAGGGGGAATGGAAAGACGTGACGGCCGAGGTCTTTACAGCATGTAGGGCACACTGCGGTGGATCGTGAGATCATTGAAATCATGACCTGTTAAGTGTTTCACTCTGAAGTGTGTATATATATATATATATATATATATATATATATAT